GGGACGCGATGCGCGCCGGCTATGCCCCCTCCAGAACCCGGCCCTCTGTTTGTGCAACGTGCAGTGTGACACGCCAGGCTCGTATTGGCCCCTAGGGATAAAGGGTGTTCCCAGAATAGCAGAAGGTGGACCGTATCTTACTCGAGTGCCTCCTGGATTATTTCCTGCCCCTCCAGAACTGCCCGGTGTCGGGTAGTCGGGAATCTTGTTGAGGAATTAATAGAGAAGTAGTCAGAGAAAAAAACTTGGTTTTTAAATACTTTACGGAAGTAATATTGTGCTTTTTTTATTAATGGAGCTGTACTTTGTATATCCTATAGTTTACTGTTGGAATTACGTTGGATGAAAGTGCAGCAACCACGAGTTGAATAGAAAAGAGGAGGGCAAGAAATGAGGTGCTTTGATAGCGTGCTTGGAGGGAACACAGTAAGGAAAATTGCCAGCAGAGGTGTCTAGACGGAGAGGATGGAAACGCATGTTTGAGGGGAAGGATGATCTGGTCTTCCAAGTAAGCGTGTGTGCTTTTATCCTTCAGAAGGTTTAATTGTTTGACTTTCCTCTTGTCTAAGGTTTATGCTGTAATCTGTCATCTTAAAGTGGGTCAGTTTTTAGAAAGATTGGGTTTGGTGGGTTACACAAAAATTGTTAGTTCTCTCTCCCAGCCTACACTCAGTTGGATCCTTATTTGAAGAGATTGTCTGTTAATTCAGATAGGATATGGGACGCTTAAATACATTTTTGAAATAAGATACTGTCAAGGCTTGCTTTACCAAGAAATCGTGCATCGAGAAGTCCTTGATATTTAAAAGGTAAAATCTGTTCAACTGTTACCACTTGAGTGGTATTTGGGATAAGCTATTCTTGAAGTTGATTTGCTGTTTTGGAAAATTTAGTGTAAACCAGGCTAAATAATTACAAGATGTTAGTGAATTGAAGAATTTTTCAATTTATTGATTCCTGCTTCTGGTAGGCGCATTTGGCTGATTTAGTCATTTTAATATCTGCCTAAAACACATGGGTGAAAGCAAAACTTCATTTTTTTCCAGAATATCCTCTCAGTTCTCAGGAGCACATCATGACTGTCAGCATGGTTGTGTGATCTTGAAGAGGTGGTTTCATCCCTAGGGATTTAAACAGCACCAGGTGAGCCCTGGGTAAAGATAAATAGGACCTCATGGAGCTGAACTTAGCATTATGGCCTAAGATTGCCTCCCCTGATCACAGAAATGGTAAATGCAGGTGGCCGCAATTCCAGGTTTATTATGTATTCTTGGGAGGGTGTGTTTCCATGGGTTCTTGTACTGATAGTTACGTAGGTCTGGAAAGCCAGAAAGGCAGGAGACCAGTCAGTTAAAAAGAGAAAGAATTGAGCAAGACTCCCTGATAAATGTATATTTATAAACAGTATGTGTGTACTATTTGTGTGTGTGTGTGTTGTAAATGACACCAAAAGTAGATTAAAAAGTGACATTTAAGAAGGACAAATGAGCATACATTTTCTTCTCATACTCCCATGGACCACTTATGTACTCCTTGAAGGGTTGTTTGGGTCATGCAGTCTGCAGTGGCAGATAAATACAAATCCTGCTCATTTAGGTGCTTATTAACTTTGACTGCTCACCTTGACTTCACTTGTAGTACAGAGTTGTCAGACCCTGGCAACACATGCCTAAGAACTTGTGGTTATGGAAAACGTAACTGGGCAAAGTGGAAAATAAAGGTTCTCAACTAAAATGAAGCAAAGACCAGACAAGAATGATGTTCACTGTATAAACTGGAGACTAGAACTAGCCAGTGGAACTGCGTTTTTCTTTTCCTGTACACCTTCAAGAAAGACAAAAAACTTTAGGTATTAAAACCATATGGAGTAACACTCTTGATTTAATTGCGGTTGTTTTAAGAGATTTTAATGTTAGGGATCCTCATTTTTATGTTGAGACATTTATAAAACAATGTTTTCTCTTATCCTTTTGAACCTGTATTCATTCAACACATTTCTTGAGCACCACCCCTAGATGCTGGGCATGTGGAGCTGAAGACAGAGTCCTGTCTCCAGCTCATTCTATAGGTTAGCACACTATGGAGCTGGCTTTGACTAGGGAACAACTGGACAGAAGCACAAAGAAAAGAGAAAGCGCAGACTGTTTAGGGGACTGATAGTGGTTCAGTATTGAAGTGTGATGTGAAAGGGAGCAGGGGCTGGAGGGAGAGAGGATTAACACCTTGGATGATCCTGTATGCTGGAGCCACAGAGGAATTTCCAGTAAGAGGGTGTGACGCACTCAGGTTTGAGTGTTAGATGGCTCTGGGGACAGTGGTTGGAGGGAACACTGCTAAGGCAGAGGAGACTGTGCCCCTGAGAGATGATGTCAGCCTAAGGTAGTTCTGTGACCTTGGGATGGAGAGGGGTGATGGACGTGAGGTGTTTTGTGGGGGTTGGTAGAACTGTCAGCTACCAGTGATTGAACAGATTTGGTATAAGGAATAAGTATCTGAATATTTTGGAGAGTAGACCTTCACTGAGGAAATTTGAGTTAAATTATTTTGGGGGACATGGGGAATATCTGGTTGTACATACGTGAAAAAATGACAAGAGGATTAGGAAAATCCTTGAGAAGTTTATTTTTCCAAGGGAAACTTGAGAAAATTTTGATTTTACTTATTCTAACGTTCTGAGTTTTTAGTGTGTTGCTGATTTGAATGAACATTACTTGAATTAAGAAATTTGAATTTAAAAAGTGTTACTCATTCTGTTACTCATCTTTCTTAAGATCCATGGTTAATTTATAGCAGTGGCTCTGAAACTTCAGTGTCATCAGAATCACTTGAAGGTCCCATTAAAACCAGATTGCTCAGTCCTATTCATAGAGCTCCTGATTGCTAGACCTGGGGCAGGCTGAGAATTCGCCTTTCTAACAAAGTGATGTTGCTGCTGCTGGTCCAGGGGCCACACTTTGAGAACTACTGGTCTTCGGTTTTTCTCCTGCTTCCTGCTTGAATGATTCACAGCAAGGAAACAAGGTGCTGCCCTGCTTCCTGTAGAATGAACTTTGGAATAGTATTTGTCCATGTAGGAGCCAGATTTTCTTTATGGTTGAATATCCAGATTTGAAATAAACTTTTTTTGCCCATTCAGTAAATGTTTATGAAAGAAACAAAAGCATGGATAACTGTGTAAACTGTAAAATGTGTAACTTTTGGAGGCAGCTATTTTGCTCAATGTAAAAACAAAATTGATAATCTGTTTGAAGTTAAGTCTTAGACCACTTTGCTCTTTGACCCCCTTTACTTGGTTCATTTGCCTTGGTGGATATTTCTTCACTTTAAGAGCTACTTTCTTGGGGTTTGGTTGAGGAAGTTTTAAAAAAAATTTTTTGTTTGGAATTATTTCCAAGTTTCCCTTTCTTACATTTTTACCAGTTTGATGATTACTCTTTGTTTTACGAGCCAGAGGACTCATTTTCAGAACCTTGCCTACTGTGTTCAACCTCATACCTCGGCAAGATGAGTCAGACTGAAATAAAAGAGCGCTTCCCTGTTCCAGTATCTTTGGGAGCAAAAATGGGCATGAACGTAATTTAGAGCCTGTAATAAGAATTTTTAGTGACTAAAGTCCATGGTATATTGTCAACGTCGGAAGGCATCTTATCATTTTACGTCCCTCATTTGTGGAGTGGGAAATCGAGGCCTACGGAGGGAGGGGCTGCGTCCAGAGTGAAACGGGGGAAGCCTGAACCAAGATAAGAGCTGACTGGTTCGCTCTTTGGATCATTGTTATCTCTGAGTTTACCAGAGATTAGCTCTAAGGATTAAAAACATAATTGGTATATGAAAAAATAAGAAAAGGTGAATAAGATGAACCTAATCATGACTGTTGAGACAGTCCCAGGAGAGGTGTTAAATCAAACAGGTTCTTAAAAACTGAGTAAAACACTTAGTTTACTTTATACCAAACAGATAAGCAATAGTGTAGAGGGCCACTAACAATTAGTGGTAAGGGTGGCTCAAATTAATACTGAACAGCCACTTTTAACTGGAAGAAAAAAATTGGCAGCGTGATAAATTATCAAGGGAAATTGTGAAATGTTCATTACTGAAGATAGACTTGGAGTAGATATCCATCATGATTTGGAAAGAAGCTTTCTGTGTCACCTTAGTGCTGGAGTGAGAACAGATGACCCACTAGCTCAGGGCTGCCTGTGTGGCTTGAAAACTAATTGAAAGCAATGTTATATGGCCTTTTTAAAAGCAAAGATTTTTTAAAAAGCAGACCAGTAAATAGTGTTTATACCGAAATGCCTGGTTAAAGGTTTGGGTGAAGCTACTGGTGTTGACCAGCTGGGCTTTTCTTAAGAACTCTGAGACGTACTCATTTGAGGCAATTCATAATGCTGGTTACAGGTTTTTTCCCACTGATGTAGTTTTAGCAGTTTTGTGGAAAGAGAACATAATAACACTGCTGTCTCAATTTTCGAGAGTGCTGTGACTTCTTGGTGGACACAGTTCACCCAGCTTAGCAGTTTGTCTTGAAGTGGCCTCATGATGGTAGGATAGGTATGCTTCTGACACATGTTGAGGCGTTGTAGCGACCTAGTTGGATTCATAGTAATCCAGATATGACTAGTGCCTGAAACTGTGACTTCATTTCTACAGGCAACACTACAGGAACCCCTCAGAACTGGCATTTCCTCTGTGCTCCTTGAGCAACGTAAAGTGGGTGCAGGCGCTGCAGCTGCTCCGTCTCGTAGTCTAGCCTGAGTCCTGGTGCTTGCACTTCCCTGGATGCATCGTTGGGTTGTTTTCTTTCCTTATAGCTTTAGGTTGACTGTGTCTAGATGTGTTAATTAAATATGTCCAGAATCAAAAAACAGTATTAGAAACACGATGGGATGGGGAAGCAAGCTGGGCATCTCAGAGCTCTGAAATCTGTGGTCTAAGCAACTAACGGAGGAAATCTCTGTAAACTGTCATTTGAGGGCATTAAAAAAAAATAAAGCAAAAAATCACCTTTTCAAAGTATCCCATAAAGCTATGTCCTTGATGACTCACATTCTGCATATTAGAACAAGGAACACGCAGAGACCACAGTGCAGTATTCCTTATGAGTACTGAGGCTGGCTGCTCTGCGTCAGCCTTCTATTTTGACTTGAACCAACAGTGGAAACTTTCTTCCCCTTGTATTGCAGGTGTCTCTCCTATCGTAATTGAACTTACCTTTGCTGTCGTTATACCAAACATCTCAAATTTCTCTCTTGCAGATTGCCAGGTGCTGTTAGTTCATGTGTGCTACGTAATTAGTGGTATTCTTTTGTTTTTCCCTCCCATTTTTGCTAACAATCACAGATGGGCAGTACCCTCAGGGATTCAGGTGGGTTGAATTTGGCTTTATGGCGCATCTGTACTGACTTACCTCTCTGAATTAAATGACTTAGACTTCTGAAACACTGGAACAGTTGGCAGTTGTAGACTTTTCTCAACATGATCAGTTAATGTTGCCTGCTGTTAGGTACATGCAAGTTTAATCTCATTTGATCTTGTCATTTCAAATATTTTAATACAATTTGTTTTTAACTAGGTACATGTGAAGATATCTTGGCAGTTTAGTGTGGAAACCATTGATCACCTTGCCCTTACTTCTGCCTGTTCTGTGTTGACAAGGGAGAGTGCCCAAATGAGCAAGATATCGCAGAACAGTACTCCAGGAGTGAACGGAAGAAGTGTCATTCATACTCAGGCTCATGCCAGCGGCTTGCAGCAGGTTCCTCAGCTGGTGCCTGCCGGCCCTGGGGGCGGAGGCAAAGCTGTGCCTCCTAGCAAGCAGAGCAAAAAGAGTTCGCCCATGGATCGAAACAGTGATGAGTACCGTCAACGCAGAGAGAGGAACAACATGGCTGTGAAAAAGAGCCGGTTGAAAAGCAAGCAGAAAGCGCAGGATACGCTGCAGAGAGTGAATCAGCTCAAAGAAGAGAATGAACGGTTGGAAGCAAAAATTAAATTACTGACTAAGGAATTAAGTGTACTAAAAGATTTGTTTCTTGAGCATGCACACAACCTTGCAGATAACGTGCAACCCAGTAGCACTGAAAATACGACAAATTCTGATAATGCAGAACAGTAAACCTCATCCCTTCCAAACTTCACAACTTGTGGCTTGAACATTAAAGGTGTGACTACCTTCACCCCTTGCATCATTGGCTGAACACTGTCTTATTCCATTATTGAGAGATCCATTGAAGGTTGTTTTCTAGGATCAGCACTGAAGAGTTGATTAGCTAAAGATGTTAGCCATTTAATTTGAATATCTGGTTTTAAATAAGGATTTTTGTGGGGATAAAAAGAAATTTTAAAGCATATGGTTAAAAAAAATTGCCCTAGACCTCATTATTCTTAATAAACTCTGACTTTCCAAGAAACGTTTCTTTTTTAGGTTGACAAAAGGAATGGGAAACTGGCAAGCCTTGCAGGAGGTTCTTGGTTTTAACGGATGTGGTTAATTGAAGAAAAGTTGAATGTTGCCTATGTTTATCTGTTTGTGACTTTTCTAAATTATGTATTAAAAATGCTTAGGGCTATAGAAACCAATCACTTTGTAATTTGGAGTGATTTTATGTATAGCTTAAACATTGTTTTAGCATAATTAGTACTGTTCTCCCCAACAAATACAAGTTTTTGAAAAGCGATGTCAAGTGAAGTAAGGAAACCCCAATGCATTTTGAAAGCAGTATGCAGTCAGTTGGCCTAAAAATGTAAATAGCATTTAGGAAGCAAATAGGTTTTTTAAAAATGAAAGCAAAGCATATTAGAATTACACTTTTGGGATACCTTTTCGGTATAGAATTGGCATTATTTTGTTTCATTAAAAAAAAAAACCAACTCAGAGGTTTAGAGAAACTTGTGTACCAAATTTTAGTTTCTGCCGATGCTAGTAAAGTAAGCAGTTTTTTTCTTTGATGTACTATTTGGACAGCCAAGTTAGTAAACAAAAACCTCTTAACAGTTTGTGGCTATACAAGATTAGGAGTTTGAATATTAATTTCAGCTGGTAGTTTCTCCTGTGATCAAATGTACTGCATTGGGGCCTGGTTTCTGGAAGCAAAAATTCTTGTGAAGGATCATTTGGTATTTGATCTTAACCAACTGATTATTAGAAAAATTCATCATCAACTTTGCCATTTTCCAAAATAATAGTCTAAGAAAACTTGAAAGTGTAAGGTTTAACCTTTAATTTATTTCACTTAAACACATCTTTGTATATTGTTTTTGTGACATTGCTTTTTCTAAGTAGTGGGCTGTTCTTCCAGACTTTTGTACCACTTTTTATTCATTTATATGCATTTATGTCCCATAAATTATTTTAGCAAGAAAACACTGATAAAACTCAGGATATTGACATTTTTGTTGAGACTAAAAAAATGGCAGTCACTAAAGACAAGAATCTCTAGGGTCTGGCATATATCTATGTTGGTAGTTTTGATTGTCCTTGTTGACTTTTTTTTTTTAAGCACAAATCTAGCTCAAGTTTGTTGATGTCTGTGTTTCTGTTTTTCTTTTTTGGGGGGTGACTGGGCTCGTGATAAGAGACGGAGTCACATGATTTAAAAAGTTTGTGTTACCAGTTATCTCATTTGAACATTTTGGGTCACGTTGTTTAATACTAGGACCTGGGACAATGTAACCAATGTAAGTCAAGTTGCACCCTTTGGTTGGTGGAAGAGTGCTGTCTGTGCCCTTCTTTTGGGTGGGAGGAGACATCATGGTGTCCTGCAACTCAACAAAGTCATTATTAAAGGCCAAGAGTCCCTTCTGCACGTGACAGGAGCCCAGTATTGTTCTGTAAGAGCTACTGTCCCAGAAGTGTTAACTCCCTATAGAGCCAGGAGACAGGGTAGGGGTTTCTGTTAGAGTCCAGCATCTTTGGAGTATCGATCTACTTGTAGGTTGATAGATGCTTTAAATAACTATGGAGGAGATACCCACAGAATCCTACTGACTCTTAAATGGCACCTCATTCAAGATGCAGTTAGGTCACTTGAATCTTTAAGCATCTATAAGAGGTGCTACAGACATTTTAATCTCTTATTTACTAAAGAATGTCTTTCAGAAATTGATGTCTCATAGAATTTATTGTTACCGATTATATGAATTGACCTAACTCTTGGACAAGAAGCTTTAGGGAGATCATAAGGTATGTACTCCATTATTTCAAATAACAAAAGATTGTAACTTTTGGAAAAATTGATTCAAGCTTTTACTTAAGCAAATCAAAACTAGCACAAGCAGTCACTTATGCATAGAGTAAAAATGTTAACCATTGTCTTGACTATCTTACTGAAGTGTTTGGGAATGAAAGTTTTTAGTTTGATAGATTTATCAGTATAAAATTGAGGGTAACCAAGTATGGGGAATAGGTAAGTTTAGAGCTTTGGGAACTGAAATGACTTCTGTAACTTTTGTTCTCTAGGTTACACATTAGGATATGATCTGCCTTTGCTGGTAGGTCTAGTGGTTTAGGAATTAGGCTTTAGTATAAATTCCTAGCTGCGTCTGAGTCTTCCAGGATGAGTACTTTCTGACTGGTTTTGGCTGCAGATGGTGAGTTCAGAACAGCCCTTCCTGCTGTCTGGCCCCTCTTAGTTAAGGGGATGTGAGCTCAGATAATTTGGACATTCTTAATAAGAATTAGTAAGATTTTAATAAAATATGACCAGAATTCTGAAATTCAGGTCTTGAGTGTGAAATTCTCAAATTTACATAAGGAAGTAGAAGTATGTATAATTTAATATTTGGTATTAAAAGAAAGAAAATTGTAGCAGCGTTTGATGTTTCTTAATCCCCATTAGAAGTCTTGAGACTTTGTATCTAAACAACCCCTTTAAAGTACTCAGTGTTTTTGATGCCTTAGAAATAGGAAGACAATTTTGTTTGACAAAAGCTAGGAAAGTCCATTCTACAGCTGTTAGAGCTGCCTCTCAGGAAAAAGTACTTACCTTGTTCTTTTTGTTCCTGGCTTTCCTCAGTTTGTGAGATTACTCTATTTTTTTAAAATATAATTTTATTTCTTTCAATGAATTTGAAATAAAAAAACTTTGGAATAATGACTGTATTTCATTGTGGGTTTCTTTATGTCCAATACCAAGAAAGTGGTCCAAGTGTTAACCAGCTCTGAGGAGCCAGGCAGATGTCTTGCTGCCTTTTTAGTCCCAGCCCAGGGCAGAGGTGAGGCGGTGGTGGGGGCGGGGGCAAGCAGAAGTGCTTTTGTCCCAGCTGGATTTCCCTTAGTGATAGGAACGTAGTTTTCTCTGAATTCAGAGTGCCTCTTTAGTTATTGTCCGTGTCACCTGGTCTAGTGTAAAAAACCAGAATGCAGACAGCAGTGACTGGTGTTCTGCTTCATGTCTTCAGTGTGGTCTCCACCCACGGGGTGGTGGGAAATGAGTTCTAGGCTCTGCAGTAGATGGGAAGGTCAAAGTGAGGCCTTTCCCCTAAAAGCACAACCTGTAGTGTATGGACATTGTCTTCATGTACTGGTGCCATAGAACGTGTGAGTCCGAGGAGCTGATCTGAGTGTTTTAGGGAAGATGTCATTTGATAGTTGTCTTCTGTGATCCTTCAGTTATTCTCATGTCTTGAGAAGTAGACGTCTGCTGACTGCATCTTAATGAAAATTAGAGTACGGTGATTATTTCTGTGGGTAATATGTCCCATTTCATTTTCATAAATTGGTTGTAATTTAGAATCTAATAACTTATAAGGGAATTTTATATAGAGATTTGTGAAGGTGCCAGCTCTTTTTTAACAAAAGCACTTTAGACGTACTGCTCTTTGGCTACCTGTGGAGTATCTGAGGAGTTCATATGCATTTTATGTGTACTCAGAGGAGAATACCATCCCTGAATATTCTCTTACTGCCACAGCCCTACTCCTCCCAGAGTTCCAGACCTGAAGGTTACGCAGTGGTGTCGGGAACCAGGCTTAGAAGAGAATGGAGTTAAGTGAGGCAATCACTCTCACACCTTTTTGCAGCCCAGTTACCAAGTCTTGCCGCTTCCTCTGTGGCAGCTATTACTGCCAGATGCCTTTGCACGCCACTGCCTTTCATTCAGCTGTACCTCCTAAATGAATCTCCTGAGGTCTGCTTCACCTCCCCTACCTTCTGCAGAGCCATCACCCTCTCTTGCCTGGCTTTGGTCTCCCTGGACCATTGCATGTTCTCCAGAACCTTCTGAACCCCAGTGCACTCAGGGTGAGGCCCAGTCTCCCCAGGACATGGCTCCACTTGCTCTTGCTGCCTTCCTTGCCCTCCATTCTCTCCCACATCACTTCACTTTGGCTGCAGGGTTTGTCCCAGCTCTTTTTACCCTAGGGCCGGCCACCTTAGGACAGCTCCTAATGTCCAGAACTCCTCTTGCTTTTCACTTTCCACCCTTCCTGACTCAGCCCCCTGGCTTTCTAGACAAGGTCAAATCTGTTACTTTCCTTCGTGGCACTTTCCAATGTTTGAGATGATCTATTGGTACCTGTTTGCCTAAGGGGAAGACTCTCAGGAGAATCCAGGCTCTGAGTGCAGGGATCACGTTTTTATACCACACTGGCACGTAGGAGATGCTCATTTATTGAATAACTAGCTAGACCTTTCCTGGGTTTCAGGAAGGCCTTTGGCACGGTGCAGCTTTCTTTGGAAGGGTCTCTGATGTATTTCTGAAGCTGTACAAATTTCTGCAGAAGTTGGAGAGTCAGGAGTTGGATACGTCCCCTGGAACATGCGGAAGAGTAGGGAGCTGCTGCTCCCCCCCGCCCCAGTCCTGTACCTGCGAAGAATGCCCTTTGTTTTACCCAGCTGGGCTCAACCAGCCAATTCCGTTCCCAGTGTCCCTCTTGGACAAAGCATTTAGTTACTGAGATTTCTACTTGTTCCTTTTTATCTACTTCCTTGATAATGAGAGCAAACATTTATGTGAAATGGTCAGTTTTGGTATAAAATGTCTAAAGGAGAGGAAGGAGGGAGATGTGTGATATGCTCAGCTGTTTTTAAGTTAACACAACTCAACTGTCCACTTAGAATTTCAACCTGACCATACCTGGTTTTATCCTGGGGGTGGGGAAAATTGAAACCCTGTGCACTAGAACATGTCTATCACAGATATGGCTGGGGTAGAGAAGTATTTGGTGAACTCAGACTCCCAGTCCTCAGAAAGACGATCATTACTCAATTTGTTCAATATCATGAATAACTTAGGGACTATATCTGTGCGCCAGCTGGAAACCTTCAAAAATGGATGTAATAAATCTATGAAGCAAAAAATATAAATGGTGATTTGCACCTACTATTACTTTATTTTAATGTGGCCACATCACAAGCACTTTTGTATTATTGCCATAGGAAGAAATCAATTTGTACCAAACTCTTCAGTGACAAAAGATACTCTGGCTTGGGCTACAGAGTTTCCCACCGTATCAAGTTTTCATCTCTGATGTCTGTCCTTCTGACTTGTCCTTCACCTTGACTGGGAAACTCCTGGATGAGAGAGCCCTGTGCAGAGACAAACCTGGAATGCTGTGCAGAATTCTAGAAGCCGCTGCAAGGATGGAGGCAGTTCTGTGGGACCGGGGAGGACTGGGCAAGCAGAGGTAGGGCAGGTGTCCTGCTACTGGCAGGGACCAGGCCCAGCTGGCCCTGGATGGCCCTGCTGCCTCAGAGTGGAGTTTGGTCACTGGGCCTACACTTGGGGGCCACAGACAGACTTGGCAAATGGGAAAGCTCACCTTTGCCATGGTGCTGCCTTAGGTGGCAGTCTCTCTCAAACAGACACTGGCTTCGCTATCATGTCCTGCATGAAAAGGAAATCAAGGGCAAGGAATGTGCAAGTCTCAAATTTTAAATAACTGCGCCTCAAGTACGCTATAATTCTACCCCCTTTGGAAAGCCAGCTTTGAAAGGCTTCTTACTCTGTGGTCCCCCTTTTGATGTGTGCAGAACCAAGTTCCCAGGCCCCCAGCATCTCCACAGGGTCAGTTTCCAGGTCTGAGCACGCAGTGCTCATCTGCAAAGGGATAAAGAAGAGAGAGGGAGCCAGGCACAGAGGACCATTTTCAGGAAACCTTTTATTGCAAATTCCATTCTGTGTATTGATTTTTGAAAGAAAACACCGGAAACACACCTTTCCTGAGCAGAGAATACAAATGACAAAGACACTCGTTCAGTTGCTGGTAAAGAACAGGATTACTGAAAATAAGGAACAGGATAACTGAAAGTGAGCATTTTAAAAGCCACTGTCATATAAGCAAAGTAATAACACACTAAGGGTGTGATCCCGCAGAAAGTTAATAAAAAAAGCTTGTCTCTAGGAAACAGAACTGTTTGGTGTGATCAAACCGCATGTGATTTCTGAGTACTGACTCTCACCGCTGAAGGGCCCAGTTAGCAGGCCGCCTGCCATGAAGAAAGCTTGCGGCCGTGCCAGTCCCCTCCTGGGTACGCCCGCCGGCTCTACTTTGGGCCAGAGAAGGGGGCAAAGGCCTTGTCACGGCCTGCCATGCATGCTTCGATCTCCTCCACCGTGCGGGGCACGCAGGTCAGCAGCTCCATGCCACTGCCAGTCACCACGACGTCCTCCTCGATCCGGACCTGGGTCAGACCAATGGACACTCATTTCGGAGCTGGCCTCATGCGCTAAGTACAGGGTCCGACCCCGCAGCTCCAGGCTGACCCCGCTGAGTGGGAGGAGCCTTTTCTCAGGAGCAGTCAGCACTGCTCCCGCTACCTGCCCACCCTGACCTTGCCCCGGCCAGGTGGATGGGAGGCCCTGGAGTGGACAGGGGTTTTGTAGAATCTGCCTCTTGGGTTGAGGGGTAAGGCACCTGTCAGGTGACAGACCATGAGATAGGGTAGACCAGGTCCTTCTCAAGTGAGGAAGTCAAGATTGTACCTCCTGCCCTGGGGAACAAAGAGGTGACAGGCTGAATTTGGAGTGGGTGGTGGTATGGGAGCAAGGACACGGGGCCCGTCCGCACTCACCCCACCAAAACCACGGAAGCGCTGCAGGACCTCGCGGTTAAAGAAGCAGGCGCGGGCCGGGTCAGCCAGGGCCTCGTCCAGGAGGTGGTCGATGAAGTAAATGCCAGGCTCCACAGTGAGCACCATGCCTGGCTCCAGCTGCCGGGCGGTGCGCAGGCTCCGCAGGCCGGGCTCATCGATGCGCTCCACACCCTGGTGGGGGAAGAAAGTGACCAGGACCCAGGAGGGGCAGAGACATGCGGGCACAGAGCAGCCCTCCTCGGCCCAGCCTGTGTGCGGGCATCCGCTGTGGGGGCTGGCTTGAGCCCTGTGGGTCCCCCTGGAGCTGCAGGGAGCTCTGAGACCAGGAGGGTCTCCAGCCCAGCAGCTGTGCTGTGCTGTTCATGGCACTCGGATAAGACCCCCTCGCTCTCTGCATGGCCCCCAGATTTTTCCTGCCCCTGCCCCTTGTTACCCTCAGAACTGTGCCCGGTGGACGCCCACGTGTGCACACCCAGGGCGAGCTGCCCCTGCTGGCCCACGGGGCTGGTTGGGGGTCTGGCTGCCTCACCCAGGCCCTCTCCCTGCTGGGGGAACAGTAGAAGCCAAACCTGTGAAGCCAAAAAAGCTCTTACGGAGGCTGCGGGGCTTCCCAGGCTGCCTCTTTTCTTCAGGCAGCTCAAGTGGAAACCAGCCCCAGGAGCGCTGGGCCTGGTCCCCCCTACGCCAAGTCCCAGGTTTTCCGAGTGGCCTTCCAGGAGAAGGGACAGGTGCTGTCAGCAGGATGGGCCTGCCGGCACTAGCTCTGGCGTGTGTACACACAAACGCACGCTCACCCCGTCTACATGGCCTGGGGGCGTGGCCCCAGGGAGGCACACGTGGCGGCTCCATGCCATGCCCACGTGCTGGGCCCCCACGGAGCCTTGGAGACCAGCTCAGCCCTGCAGAGGCAGCCCCTCCCCAACACCCACAAGGGTGTGGCCGACAGGGCTGCGAGGGCAGGTGGTGCCTAGGACACTTGCACAAATTTCCCTGCCCTCCTCAGGTCCCTGAGGTACCACCCGGCCCTCGGCCAAGGCCTGTGAGCCAGTGGGCAGCAGGCAA